TATGAATCTGAGATTAGTCAGGGATCCAAGAAAGAAGCTACCTCAAAACTAAAACAACAAAAATTTAAGATTTATTTGAGTTAATTTGTTTGTTACATAAGTAACGGTTAAAAAAAAAATCAACCTATGTGCATATGGCAGGCCAACTTCCTCAGTATTACTTATTAAAAAGTATGCCTTCCTACTGAATTGCTCTGGCACCCAGCTTTAAAACTCAATTGACCGTAAACGCAAGAACTCATCTCTAGGTTCTCAATTCTTTCTCATTGATTATCTCTCTATATGCTTCTCTTTTGTCTGATATATATATCAGACTCATCTGCCCATCCCTCCACTTACCTCTACATCTATATTGATTCATCTCTATGCCGGTGTCTAGTTTTCTTGATTACTCTGCTATAAGTTGTAAAATCAAGAAGTACAGTGTGCTACCTTTTTATTTTTAGTTGGCTCACAAAGCAATTGGCTTCATTATGACATCTTCATACATGTGTACCACTATACTTTGATCATATTCCACATTTTGTACATTCTATTATAAGTGCATGTTGACTACTAGGAGTCCTTAGTGTTATTTTGAGAATCATCTTTGTCAATTTCTACAATAAAGGCTGCTAAGGCTCTGCTAGAGATTACAATCAATTAACAGGCCCATTTTTATAAATTTTATATTTTTATTAAACATTCTAATGCATAAATATGAACATCTGATATACGTTTTTTTTTTTTTTTTCCTTTTTGCGTAGGTACAGTAAGGGGTCTAACTGAGGGCTTTGCAGTATGCTGGCCAAGTCCCCTTCCAGTAAGCTTCATTCTAGCTTCTGTCTCTGACACACTTTGAAACAGTATGCAAAACCTCAGAAAATATTTTAAAACAATCCAATTTTATCAACAACTCTTGGTAAAATCTTCAATTCCACAATTCAAGGTTGGTTTAGAACAAAAAAACAAAAATAGATATGTATGCATATATAGATAGATATCTCCTATTTGTAGTTACAATTTTTGTAACTTTCAAACAGCCACAGGTATCAAATATAGTCAATATAACTTTTTCCTTTAATTCATTTGATATCAAGTTACCAACCTCATGCCTTATCAAGCCCAAGAGATATGGATGGGGGAGGAATTAGAGGGGTTTCCCAGCAACCAGTGAAGCTAGCAAATTAAACCAATTAAGCTACCAAAATCTGAAAACATACATTTCTTCCACCAAAGCTGCTAGCCTATTCAGCTCCACCAACTGTCTTAGTTCCATATTTTGTAGTGGAAGGATCTGGTTCAGAGTCCCCCATCACTTGCATTGCTGTCTCTCAGGTTCTTTCTGCCGGAAACAGCTGACTCTTAAAGGTTTGTTTACTCTCAAGGCATAATTTGTAAAGATGATAAGCATCGTGTGATTTTTTGTTCCTCAGCCTAGGTGTTTGGTATTTCCACAGGATTGGGTAAGGTCAATCATCTTTGGTAGCATATTTTGGGGAGTAGGACCTCACCCCACTGCTACTGAAGACAGTTCCTCTGATTCCTTTCCCTTAGGCTTCTCTACTGTGAAACTTCTCTTTTAACCATTACAATGAATAACTGATTTTTGGGAAGCTACTTATAAATTCTTATTCTTCACCAACTTTTCAATTTGGTATCCTAATTAAATCTTTAATAGTTGGATCATTTCCTATTTGACATAAAATGTTATAATCATTGCACCTGTTATTTTGATGCACAATTTGTCCCTAGTTCTCCCAGGGGAAACCCCTTCAAAATGTCTTTCACTTTCATATATCCTCACCAATCTTTGGATATTGCCTTGTTTTCTAGATAACATTTCAAGGTCATTTTAAACATATCCAGTCCCAGCTCGAAAGTAAGTTATTTCTTGAAAGAGTTTTAAGTACATTTTATAGGACTATTATCATATTATATATAATATTATTATGTTATAATAATATAGATGGGGTTAAAAGCGGTGTTAACTGCTACTGGGATGTAGCTGTTCACAGGTCCTTTCAAAGACAGAGCATACAGATATATTCACACATAAACAAAGGACATTCATAGCAGTACTTATGTGTATGTATGCATGTGAACATGTGGTACATAAATGGGAATGTGCAGGTGTATATGCACATTCATGCCAAATTTAGAACAAGGCAGTAGATGTCTTCCTCTACTACTCTCCATCTTAATGCCTTGAGACAGGCCCTCTCACTAAACTGGATGAGAGCTTAACATTTTGCCCAGGCAGAATAGCTGGTGAGGCTGTGGAATTAGTTTCTCTGTATCCACTAATGCTGAGGTTACAGACACACATACCCACGCCCAGCTTTTTATGTGGGTCCTGGCGACTGAAATTCACATCTGCAAGCTTCTTGTAGAGCAAACACTCTTACCCACTAAGTCTCCTACACGCACATTTCTAAATCTACTGATGCATGTTGGTAAACATGAATTTACACTAACACACAAAACTGAATCAAGAGTTAACAGTACTTTCTGTGCCTATAGACAGAATTCAGCTTCATTATTTTAAATGTATATTTATTTTTAATCCAATTGCAAGAAATTCGCTGCTGTGAATCCCCCTGTACTTGCTCCTATCACCTGGCTCTCAGAGCTGGCACCAGATTATCTCCCATGTGGATGCTCTCCTCCTTCTGCCTAAGCTTTCATACCCACAGTGTTCTGCCCCCTCAATCTGATACCTTCTCTGTACTGCCTGCATACTTACACACAGAAGCGCCTATTTGGACAGTCCCTAGTCCTAGGCGCTGGCTTGCATGAGAAATGGAAACTTCTCATTTATAACTCTTTGCGATTGTAAACCTAAAACCCCATGTTTTAATTTTTTTAAACAAGTCCTTTGTGATCTGTTTGCCCAGGTTTCTGAAAAATAGAAGTTTACAGATTCTCATTTTGTTTGTATTTATACAATTGCCTTTATTGTTTCATATCAGAGGTAGTCAGCAAAAAAACTGTATCTTTTTGTATATGAATGTGTACATAGAGACCAGAGGACCACCTCAGCTATTGTTCTTTAAGCACCATTCACCTTGAGGTTGTTTGTTTTTTTTGAGACAGTGTCTCTCATTAGCCAAGGAGGCTAGAGTGGCTGACCAGTGAACCCCAAAGATCCACCTGTTTCTACCTTCCCAGGCCTCTGTGCTGAATTATTAACGTGTGCCACAGCATCTAGCTTTTTTATTTGGGTTCTTGGGACCAAACTCATGCCTTCTATAATATTTTACCAACTGAACCATCTCCCAGGTCAGAATGCTTTAGCTTTGAGCCTTGCTGAGTGAATTTGCAAAAACATCTAATAAACATTCCTTGCCATTCTCAACAGCATAGATAACCCCCTTGAAGAATCATTCAAATCCAGAACTTATATTCTCTTGGAATACAAGCTCCTTCTCTGAGCATGTTGTGTGGGTGTGGAGGCCTGGTAGGCCCACAGAACCAAAAAGTCTTCCATTACTGACTGTATGTAGACTAGTCCTTTGCCAAATGAATATGGCCCTCTTAGAGAGGCAATGTTCAGAACAGACTCTATCTTTGTACCCAGCTAGCATAGATGGCTTTGGGCACATGGGCCCAGCTGATAGAATGGGAAATATTCTGAGCTCTTTCTCCAGCGCTAAAACACTCAATGCAATTGCATCTGTATTGAGGCACACAAAAAAGTTATTAGGCATGTCATTGTTTCAATTCTACTTGCTTTCGTACTTTCCAACAAACACATTCAGGCTCCAGTAGAATAATTAATATTAAATATTATAAATGCATTAAAAGTAATTATCCCTGAATGTTCAAATTCATAAGAAAAAACCCATCGTGAATATGAAAAACTGAGAAATCACACATAATACCACCTCAATTACACAACTGTAGTAATGTATACTTATGAAATTTATAGGCATAAACATTATGGATAAAATTTTACATTTGTATTAAAACACAAATAACACATTCAAATAATATTAAACAAACAAACAACAAAAACCAGTCCATAGAAAAATATAAGAAGAAAACTGAGACCATGTTGATAGTTGGGTCAGGAACACTGGTACCCACGTTAGTATATTCCATGCATTTAGATATACTAGAAAATGCTAATTAAAAATGCTACATTAGATAATACACCTGGAAGACTATATGCCATCTTGATAATCATGGATAGTTACTAAGTTCACCATTTCTTAAGCGATAATGTTAACAGTTACATTCTTCAGTTTTGTTTTCTGAGAAAAGCTCGCATGGCTCCAGGCAGGTATCAAAATTGCTGTGATGGTAATGCTGGCCTTGAGCTCCTGATCCTCCTCCTCCTGCAATGTAACTGAGGCTAAACCTAATCCTCCTTTATTTACCTCCTAATTGCTGGACTTGCAGGTATGTGATATCACACATACCTTTCTATTTATAAAATGTCTACAGAAAAGATATATATATATACATACATATTCAGGGGAAAAAAGAGCCAGGAAAGAGCCATTTGTATATTCTATTCTATCATTCATTGTGAAATTATTTTCTGGGCACTTTCTAAGAACCAGCACCAAGCTGGTAGCAGAAAAGAATGCAATGACCACAGACGTGAGATCAGGCATCATAGGCTTTCTTCTGTACCTCTCCCCAGCTCAAGTTCACCACTGAGCAAAGTCAGGGAAAAGGCAAGAGGGGGTGAGGGTTTTGATAATCCCCAGAAGGCATGACTGCCAGGGTTAAGGGCTTCAGATTCAAGTCTTCTGAGGGTAAGAAAAAATTATCGTGTAGCAGACACCTGGCGTACCTTAGCAGAGGCAGTCTACCCACTGGATTCGTCCTCAAAATGTCATCTAGCTGCTGTAGAAAGTATAAGTGTCACAGTTACTACATTCTGGTCCTGAGCTAGGGACTCAGGGAGAGGCAAAGGGTCAGAATTTCTACTCTCAGCTCCACAACATATGGTTTCTGTTCTTTGAAAAGCAAAAAACAATCATTTTAAGGATGTTAAAGAAGAACCTCACCTGCAGAGACACCAGAGGACAAACCCAAGTCCACAATAAGGGTCTAAGCAGATGGCCACTTCTCTAGAAGGGTAAAGCTCACACTGCAGCTTAATAGAACGGCAAAAGGCACTGGTGGCTGCATGAGACATCTGAAAGACAGAAAGGCAGTAAAAGTAAGTGACTGGACACCCAGCATTCAGTGACGTCAGTGGAACAACATGCCTGTGTTGAATTCATGGTAATTTGTATTAAATGCCCCAAAGATACTTTTAGGGCCAGAGAAAACTAAAGCAAGTTTGGGTTATATTGTTCTGGAAAAGGTGGATGCTGGTGTTCTTAGAAGTCTTCCTATTTTCTTTTTTTTGGGGGTGGGGAAGGCATGGTAGGTAGGTAGTAGGCATGGTCTTACAAGTGCTGCCAGCATGGCCTGGAACTCCCCACAAAGCTGGCTAAGCCTAAGCTGCCTTTTAATTCATGGCATTCCTTCTACTTCAACCCTTTGAGCTGTGTGAATTATATCCATGAGTCACCACACTAGGAAATCTTCCATTTTGAACATGTAAACCATACTTAAAACTTCTTGACCCTCCTTGTAACCTCAGCAATGGGTAGTAATGCTTTAGATCTCCAAATGCATGTGTATCAGACATGAGGCAGCCTCAAGCCTATGTATTACTTGCCTTATTTGCACTGTGATATGGCATGTCCTAAGCACCCTTGCCTTTCAGTGCAATTTCGCTTTGGCTGGTGTTAAGTAACTATCCTTTCCCTGGGCAGACAACCAATCTCTGTACACACATTACATAGCACTAATTACAGAGAAAATACTCATGGCCTCCTCTAACTTAATGAAACTCAAGCTTTTTATCCAAAAGCTAAAATTGAGTAAGAATTTCTTCCAGAGAAAAATGACCTCTCTGCAACTCTATGGGACAAAGAGGCAGACAATATGCCAGGCAACTTCCCCTATTCTTTTGTGCCTTTCAGCCCTTAAAACATACAGGTTTTCATTAACTCATATCAGAATATACTTCTTTTCACATACTCATCAAACAGATCATGAAAAATTAGAAAATCATTTTAGGAGTTTGAAAGAAAGTCTAGTTACCCATCTTTTTGAGTTTTTCTATGGTACATAAAAAACTGAGTCACCAAGAAGTAATACACATAGATAGTACTAACTGTTTCATGTAGATGCACTTTTATTAAATCAAGATTTACTATTCTAGTTCCTACTTCCATACTCCATGAGAATATTTAGAAGTAAGGGTTTCTATTTTGGCTCTGACAGCAAGAAGCTCAAAGCTCACTTAAGGATGACAGTAATTAACTCATCCTGTTCTAAGAATATTTCTTTTAGGAAGTTTTAAAAAAATTAATACTCTAGCTTATTTGGTGTACTTTTTCTAATTCTACGGGAAAGGTCAAGTATGAGCACTAAGTGACAGATAAGTAGTCCAAATTGGCCTACTTCGACTGACTGACTAAGAGGCAAAGATGAAAAGGAAAAGGCTTCCTGAGGCTTTAGACCCTGAGGCACAGGATCCTGACATCTGACCTGTGCTGATGTTGATTCTAGATTATATCAGTAGTTCTACCCTCTGACAGGCAAAAGGCTCACTGTAGCTTACCAAGTAGCAACCTTTTAGGTTATGATTGTGCTCAAGTTTAATAGGTAAAAGAATGTAGTGCAAAGATGCTGAGCAGAGTAAGAAGATTTGAGAACCATTAAGCAAGAAGATTGTATATACCACTCTGGCATGCAGTAAGACGATGACAATGTGAAAAAAAATGTTAAGTTTTTGTTTTTGTTTTTAAGTGAAGATTGAATCTAGGGTAATGTATATGCTAGGCAAGGAGTATATGAGTAAATTATGCCCCCAGCTTTTCCCAGATTATTTGGTAATTAGCTATTAGGTATTGAAAGTTCATATGTGTTCCAGCTTGTATGAAAATCAAATCATATCCCTTTCCATACATCCCTGGAATATAACCACATATAACAAGGTAAGTGAGCAATCAGTGCATGGCTTGTCTGTTGTCCACACTGGTCTGCCCATTAGGCAGACCCCTCTTCTCACCTTTACACCGGCTAGCATCCCCGTTGTGGACACACTAAAGTCAAGGTAGGCCAGTGTGTCTGGATTGGAAGGTTTGTAGATCTGGGCAGGCCGCTTCTTTGGCAAATCATCTACAGAGAAAAACAAAACTATAAGTCTGCTGGCCTGCTCTAAAGGCCATAATGAGAGAGTGCATGGAAAGCCAGTCTAAGTGCTGACCTGTGTCCAGTATGAGGGGCCATGTCCTGACATCTACAGCTGCTGCTGCCTCTCTGGACCGAAGCAGTTTACAAATCAATTGTGTTGTCATGAGACAAGCAGAGCGACTCACCTGAGAACCACAGACAAGAAAGGAAGGAATGAATGCATACCAGAAATAGACAAATCTTGGAAGTGCTCACCATTTATGTACCTAATGTACCTCATAGGTTAAAAGTACAGAACTTTAAGTCCCAAGATCTAGCTCAGGAAGTAGGGCTGATCTGGCTGCAAATGTCACCCATGATCTGCCATAATTGCAGCTAATCTGCCTGGCTAGGTGGCTATTCTTTCTCCCTCAGTGCTCCTCAGTCTTACTGCTGTAACATCACTCTTCGTTGAAGAGGATGACCTTCTCCAGTAGTGGAATGCCATTTTCTAGTCTAGAATCTCTCTTCTGCTAGGACTTCCAAACTAGTTCTTAAGAGCCAGCTAGGGTCTGGCAAAGTCAAGAGAACTGGTCAGGCACACATACAGGCAAAGCTCTGAGGCCTTGTCCTAAACTCTTGAGGCTAAGTAGTATCCTAACATTACTCTCTCATGCTGGAAAAACATCAGAGGCTCCTCTCTCAGCATGTGCTCTTTACACATGCAGATGCATTGTAGGTATTTTCTAACAGGAGTGCCTTTCTTGGCAGTGTTCCCTTACTGCTATCAAGAGCATTCACCAGGAGGCCAGGACTGTTCTCTGCTTATGACTCTGCTTTCTGTAGGGGAACGTATATGCTAGTCTTTAACTTCTTTATACAAACAAACAAATAAAACATACATACATACATACTCTAAAAACAAAGAAAATAACCTTCCAGAAAGGAGCTTGAAGAAGCCCTATATTGTTTTTCATTCAGATTGCTCCTTTGTGTTTGGTGATGAAGCCTTCTCTATGGAAGTATCAATGAACTCCAATAGGCCCTTCCAGCTGTCCCAGCTTTCATGTTGCTCAGTTTAGATCTTACTCCCAAAGCTAGATGATAAACTCCCTGGAGACACTTCTATTCCCAATTCTATTACTTTCATCGCACACCCACACGTATAGCACAGCTAGTTGCTGCCCCTGTAGACTTTAGGTTTGTGACTCACAGCTTGCCACTGTGAAAAGGCATGTGAAAAGCCAACAGTATTCTACCCAAGCCTTGGTTACCTCTACGATCATCTTGACTGTAGGCAATGTCGTTGCAATGTTCTGTGGATGTGGAGGCCGCACAGTGATTGGCACACAGCCTGCATACAGGCAACCATAAAATGCAGCAATAAGGTCTATTCCTACACGAGAGAAAAGAAGAAACACTTGAAGCCAGTCACATTGCTTAATACATTGCTTAATGACTACCACTGCTCTCTCTCAGTGCAAGTTCTACTCTGGTAAAAGTCAGACAGTAAAGGAAACAAGGTCTTTAGCTCCTTCCACCCTGTACCTTTTGAGTAAGTCTCAGTGATTACTTTCTTATGTCTTGTTCTTTTAGATACAAGATACTAAGACAGTTTAGATGTTTCATTTATTCATCTATCTATCTATCTATCTATCTATCTATCTATCTATCTATCTATC